GCCGACGTCGGGGTTCCCTGAGGTGCCTCCTGCTGTGGGAAGCAGGCAGGCTCTGTGTGTGCGTGTTTCCTGCCCGCCAGGGCTCGAGGGCTGTGGTGCTCGGCTACCTCGCGGGTTGAGGACTAACCCTGGGCACCTCTGTGCCAAGTCCTGTGTTGCTACAGTTCACAGGGTTCCAGCACCTTCTAGGCAAAGCCCACCCCAGGGATGCTGGGAAAGCCCCTTTAGAACCTCCCTGGGGATGGGCACCCGCCTTCTTTCCTCCTGGCCACCCTGAGGACACCCGCGGTGCTGAGCCCAGGGGCGACCATCCTCTGAGCCCCCAGCCCTGGCCCGGCCAGGAGCTGCTGTGTATCTGACGACCTGCCTGGCTGCAGCCGCTGATTCCCAGGAGACTCACTTCCTTAGCTACTGACCCTGCCAGGGCCCACTTGACCTCCCCTGCCGGTGCTGATGGGGAGTCAGTGACCAGCCAGACCAGCTGGGGACTCGCCACCCCCAGGAGGAATGTGCCTGGCCTGGCGGTGCAGAGGGGACTGACCCACCTCCCGGTGGTGCAATTAAGGCATTTTCAACTGAACAGCAGGGCCGAGACCTGAGAGCATCCGGGGAGGGCCGTACATCTCCGTCATCTTCCAGAAGCTTGTGGAGCTGCAAGCCAGCCTGCTGTCTGTGAGTCGGGGCTCCAAAGACGCCCCTCCCCGCCTCCAGTGGAGAGCAGGCTGTGACTTCGATGAGGGTAACTGGTGGCATCCCCCTGCAGGGTGTGGGGACAGCCAGGCAGGGCCTTGGGGTAGCGGCTGGGGGGGTGGACAGTGATCAATGCTCCCCACCCAATGGCTGAGAGTGTCCGGGCAGTGGACACACAGGCCTCCAGAGGGCTCCAAACTCCAGGAAAAAACCAGGACTTGGGCTTGAAGAGACTCAGAGAGGCTGGGAAAGGTTATTGGTCTGGGGCCACCAAGAAGCCTGAACTGGCTTCACGATTCTGGAAACACTCGTTTCCTCTTTCTCCGTGACGCGGGAGCCAACGTCTCACAGTCGTACAGATGACAGGAGACAGTATGTGCACAGCAGCCAGTGACCGGAAGAGGTATTTACTAGGACTGTGTTTACTGCCGTTACTGCTGCAGAGATTAGAGAGAGGTTGGAAAGCTCCTGAGATTAGGGTGAGGGTGGAAGCAGTGTTCAAACAGAGAAGCAGAGTCTCCAGGGACCCCTCCCGACTGCTGACACGAAACAAAATATAAAACCAGAATTCTTCAAATGGGCCCCACCTCTTTTTTTTCTTTTTTTTGCGGGGGGGGGAGGGTCATACCCGGCGATGCACAAGGTTTACTTGTGCTGTGTCAGCAGTGATGCTGAACTACTGTGTCAGCAGTGATGCACTCAGGAGTGCGTCTGTCAGGCCTCCCGTAAGCATCGTCGTCAGACACGGGGCAGTGAGAGGAGGTAGATTTCCCCGGGGGTGGGGGGAGCCACCACTCTGCTTCTTCCTTGGGTTCATCCTGCTCCCTCCTGGCCGGACAGAGAGCTTCGTCCCTGCCACCTGGTGAGCTTCTGACGGAGCCTTCCCTTTTGGCGGCCCAGGAGGCAGAGGCCAGACTGGACTTGGTGTCTATCCTGCTGGTTGCGACAGGTGCAGTGACGAATGGAATGAACAGGCCTGCGGGTGAGGTTCACCCTGGACCGAGAGGTAGGGACAACAGGCAAGAGAATGTGGCCGTCCAGCTGTGCTTCCCGCACGGTTTTCTTTCATGTGGGGGAGGGGGGTAGCGTCTGGGAAGGCTCTTGCTACTAATTCATGGGTCTTTCCCAGATGCCCCTTGGGGTTCCTCACTCCACTGCAATCCATGTACGTTCACTGAGTCTCGTCGCCCTGACAGGCGGCTGGATATTCTCAACATGCTTGTCCTGCATCCCTTGGGTTGATCATTAGACTTTTATCCTTTATTCTATTAATATTATAGATTACATTCATTGATTTGGGTTTTCTTTCTTTCTTTCTTTCTTTCTTTTTATTTTTTAACAGCACTTGTATTCCTGTAATCAGTCACTGGTCTGTAATTACAATTAGTAATTGGTCATACTATATAATCTTATTTATAGATGTCTGGGTCTGGCTTGTTATTATTTTATTAAGGACTTTGATGTCTGTCTTCATAAGGGCTCTTGGTCCATGGTTTTGCTTGTTCTAGGCATTCATTGCTTTGGGGAATGGGAAACCCGTGAGGGTTTCTTTCTTTCTTTTTCATTTTTTTTTTAATTGAATCACTGTGAGATACAGTTACAAAACTTTCATGTTTGAGTTTTAGTCATACAATGATCAAACATCCATCCCTCCACCAGTGCACATTCTCTGCCACCAATGTCCCAAGTATACCCCCCCCCTTTCCAACCTCCCTCTGCTTCTATGGCAGACAATTTCCCCCATATACTCTCTCTCTACTTTGGGGCATTATGTTTTGCAATACAGATGCTGAGAGGCCATCACGTTTGGCCCTTTTTCAACTTTCAGCACACATCTCCCATCCCAAACAATTCCTCCAACCTCATTGACTTAGTGATCCCTTCTCTATTCCAGCTCCCTTCTCCCTCAGCTTATGAGACAGCTTCCAACTCTGGGGCAATATTCCTGGCCCTTGTGTCTACTATCTTTGGATGTCAGTCTCATGCTATTTTATATTCCACAAGTGAGAGCAGTCCTTCTATGTCTGTCCCTCTCTTTCTGACTCATTTTCACTTAGCACGAGGAACAGATAACTCTCTTTCATGGAGCCCACCTGTGAGGGATGTCAGCAAGCCTGATTCTCACTGGTCCTTTGTTTCTCTGCCTACTGGGCAATACCCCTCATTCTAGCCTCAGTGTCTTTAGGCCGGACATTGGGTCACCTGCAGCATTTAGAGGTGGGGCAGGGACTCTCTTCCTTGTAACCTGCAGTTCCCTTTGCTCTTTGGATGTCACTACCCATAGAAGGCTACTGACTTCTCAGGGGTGAGCACTTACTGACCCCCCCAACGAAACCAGCACCCCAATCACAAAGCCAAATACGACCAGTTCCCACTCAAAAGAAACCTTTCATTTTCTTCCACACCCTCCTCTAGCAGAGGCCAAGCCACCTCTGGAATCTAATACGGAGCATTTGGGTTTCGGTTTTATATTGACTTTATATTTTATATTATATTGGCATTTGGTTTCATATGACTTTATGGGAATGGAGCTGTGGGACAGGACCTCCCCTTAGCCCCGGGATTCTCGCACCTGGTGACAAGCGTGTTATGATTCATCTGCGTGACGGTGGCCGGTCCAGCCTTAGGGTTTTATGGCACTGCATGATGTGATCAGAAAGCGTGTTTCCATGCTCTGGTCAGTAAACGTTGGTTTATTTTCTGCTAGGGCTTTCCGTAAAGAGTCCCACTCTGCAGATGTGTGTGTGGGGGTGGGGGCGGGGGATCTCTCTTCCAGTAGGTATGCCTACTCTCTTTTGCTCTGTACACCCGGGGGTGCTTCTGTTCGGTGCTCGTGGGTTCTGCCAGTTCTCCAGTGAGCACACACGGGTGTGATCACTCGGGCGCTGAGGGTGGATCGCAGCTCATTGCGATAGTTCTGTGCAAGTTTCTGCATCTCACCATTTAACTTTAGCTCGCCTTTCAGGGTGATTGAATGAAAGCAAGGTGCACATCCAATTTCTGTGGGGGAGGGTTCCTGTGCAGAGGGCGAGGGTGGCTTTTGAACCCAGGACATTCACTGCCCCCTGCTCCTGGCTTTTGTTTTTGTCATTAGCTGAAATGATTTCCTTTCCTACCTGTGTTTCAGGAGTGCTTTGCCACACTTGTTCAAGCCTTGCCACCGATGCCTGCCCACCCACCCAAACACTGGGACCCCCTTTCTTTCCGCTTCCTCCTCCCCACAGACCTCAGCACTGCATTCTGGATCCCACGGGGGGATTTTGTCTCTTCCTTTGTTTCGTTTCTCTGGATCCCATGCGTTAGTGAGAGTACCCAGTCATTGGCATTTTGACTCTCTAGCTTTCTGGGTCCCGCTCCCATTCCATCCACGTTGTTGCACAAGTTCTGTCTGTCTGTCTCTCTCTTTCCCTCCCAGCCAGGAGTGGTCCCTGGTGTATGTGTACCACATCTCACGGCAGATGAGGTGTCCATTGAGGGGTTGCCGGGCACTGGGCTGTGTCCTACCCCTTGGCTATTGGCAGGAGCACTGCTCTGACTGTCAGTGTGCATTTGTCCTTTTCGGCGTCCACGGGTCCTTTCAGACTGGACCATCAGGCGGGGCCCTGCGTTCACCCCCGGCGTTTTCCTCACAGATAGGGCCGATCTCATGCGCACGTCGCTCACACTCAGAGTACCATCAAATGGATGGTTTTTACCCAGAGGGAGAGAGAGAGTAAAAGGGAACGTGCCTGCCACACATATTGGGGTGGGGGGGATAGGATGGGGGTGGCAGGAGGGATACTGGGACCATTGGTGGTAGAGAATGGGCACTGGTGGAGGGAGGGGTGCTCGATCATTGTATGATTGAAACGTAAGCATGAAAGTTTGTCAGTCTGTAATTGTATTTCACGGGCTCTAGCGATAGCACAGTGGGTAGAGCGTTTGCCTTGCACGCGGCCAACCCAGGTTCTATTCCTCCGTCCCTCTCGGAGAGCCCGGCAAGCTACTGAGAGTATCCTGTCCACACGGCAGAGCCTGGCAAGCTCCCCGTGGCGTATTCGATATGCTAAAAACTGTAACAAGTCTCACTTTGTGTTTCTGGAATGAGCAGATGCCATTAGGCTACACTAGCATGAGACAGGGACAAATGGAGACGTTACTGGTGCCCACTCGAGCAAAATTGATGAACTACGGGATGACAGTGCTACAGTGCTACAACAGTTTTCATACACACACAAAAAAATGTAAATGTAGTACATTTTTTAAAAAAAGAAGGACATTTTTGTCCCATTGTCTCACACCATGCTGGACTGACTTTCTGTTCTCCCCAGTAAGAAGAAGAAAAATGCCCAGAAGGAGTCAGAGAAAGATAACTCGGACCCAGATGCTTCATTTCGGTATAACATGAATTTTGAGAAGTTGGGCAAGTGCATCATCATCAACAACAAGAACTTTGATAAAAACACAGGTGAGTGCCACGGGACCTGCCACCTTTCCTGCTGCGGTTGTTGACGTGAGTTAGAGATTCGCCCAAGAACTGGCTGGGCCCGTCTGCTGTGGCACCTGAACCCTCCACAGGTGGTCCTCAGGCATCCAGGAGAAAGTGATGTGGGGGAATTGGGAGACTTCAGTTGTTTTTTTTTTAATTGAATCACCGTGAGATGCAGTTACAAAACTTTCATGATAGAGTTTCAGCCATAAAATGATCGAACACCCATCCCTCTACAAGTGTACATTTTCCACCACCAGTGTCCCCAGTATCTCCCCTGGCATCCCCACTCAACCCCACCCCCACCTCTTATGGCAGCCAATTCCCGTCTTACTCTCTCTCTACTTTTGGGTGTTATGGTTTGCAGTACAGATGCTGCGCGAGACCATTATGTCTGGTCCTTAGTCTACGTTCAGCACACATCTCCCATCCCGAGCGATCCCTCCAGCCATCACTGACTTAGTGATCCCTTCTCTATCCCAGCTGCCTTCTCCCCTCGCTCATGAGGCCAGGAGCCTTCAGTCTTAAGAGGCTGCCGTGTGCATTATCTGATGTGGGTGGTGGACCTCGGGGTGAAGAATGCAGGGGCACGAGGTGGCCTTGGGCGGAGCTAAGACACACCCTGAGAAGGTTCCCCCTTGTATGGGCCTAGTGACCTTCTCCTTTGGGTTTGCATCTGGTCGCAGTTGTTCTCCTGAATCGTGACCATTAGATGGCATTTAGACAGCCGCCGCTCCTAGCCTGATGGTGCCACCCCACGGCCCCCATCCCAGACTCACTAATGCCGGCCACCACCTGCTCAATTCCCACAGGCATGGACATCCGGACGGGGACAGACAGAGATGCCAAGGCCCTTCATGACTGCTTCACCAACCTGGGTTTCGAGGTGATCATCAAGAACGACCTCACTTGCCAAGGAATGGTGGATCTGCTTCAGAAAGGTATCTGTCCCTTTTCTCTTCCTGCCCCCGGGAGGGCGAAGGCCTCAGGACAGTTCCCAGGGACAGAGGGGTCTCCCCGGGGGTTCTCTGTCCCTCCCCACCTCACAACCTGTCTCTGGGGTAGAGTCTCTATCACCTCACCTCACTTCCAGTGGGATGGCTTCCATGTCTCCATTCCGCAGGCTGATTCCTCCAGAGGTCACACCTCTGTCCTTTCTGTCTGGAAGGCTTTTTTTTTTTTTTTAACTTTTTGGGTCACGCCCAGCAATGCACAGGGGTTGGTTACTCCTGGCTCATGCATTCAGGAATTACTCTTGGCGGTGCTCAGGGGACCATATGGCCATATGGAATGCTGGGAGTTGAACCTGGGTCAGCCGCTTGCAAGGCAAACGCCCTACCTGTTGTGCTCTCACTCCAGCCCCAGAAGGCGTTTGTATTGCTGTTTCTCGGGGGGGCAGATGGAAACCAGCCATCCCTGTATACTTCCTGTGCCTTTGTCCTCTGTAGCCCAGTGAGACAAGGCCGTTCGGTGCGGTCGAGCCCATTCATAAAAACGGGACAGAGTGGATTGGGGGTGGAAGGGACCTGAGGGGACCCTCAGATGTGGCCGTGGTCTTGGTGTCACGGTGTTTACGCCACTCTGGCGAGAAGAGGCGTTTCAGGCAGGCGTTTGACAGTGACCCCTATTCACACAGTCGCCCTGGTGTCGTCAGCAACCCGTTCAAATTGCTCTGTTACCTTCCCTAGTTTCGCAGCGAAAGGAGAAAAAGAACCACAGACCAGAGGGAGAGAGGTCGTTCTAAAGCCAGCACAGGGTTCCGGGTTTGATCTCCAGCACTGGGTGACCGCTGTGGCACTGTTGATAGTATCCCCCCCATCCCTGCCAAAAAAAAAAAACCCCACATTTTAAAGATAAAAATATTTAAGAGATACTTTTGTGGGGGGCTGGAGCGATAGCACAGTGGTAGGGCGTTTGCCTTGCGCACAGCCAACATGGCAACCCAAGTTCGATTCCTCCGCCCCTCTTGGAGAGCCCTGCAAGCTACCGAGAGTATCTCGTCCACATGGCAAAGCCTGGCAAGTTACCCGTGATGTATTCGAGTTGCCAAACACAGTAACAAGTCTCACGATGGAGACGTTACTGGGCCCGCTCAAGCACGATAGAACAATGGGGAGGACAGGACAGGACAGGACTTTTTTTTTGGGGGGGGGGCGGGGAAGGAACATGCCTACGTCAGGGCTTACTCCTGGCTCTGCATGCAGGGATCACTCTTGGCAAACTCAGGGGACCATATTGGTGACAGACATTGAACCCTGGTTGGCTGCATGCAAAGCAAGGCCCCTACCTGCTATACTATTTAAGAGAGACTTTTTTTTAAATAAAGGAGAGAATCTCCCCCCGACCCCTCGCCTTTTTTTTTCCTTAAGAACTGGACATTTTTTCCAAGGTTTTTTTTTTTTTTTTTAAATGTGGATCTTAAAAGCTGTACCTATATCAGCCACATGGCAGAGCAGACTGGAACTTTTCAGTCTGATTTTGGGATCTCATCCGTGGCCTAAAAACTGGGTCCTCTGGGCAGGACAGCTGCTTGGGGGCTTTCCTGAAAGGTCCCAGCCTTTGTTTCTGGAAGATGGGGTGAGGATTAACCACAAGAGGGACAGGTTTGCTCTGAAGATGCCAGAGCTTGGCCCAGCTCTGGTTTCTGTGGTTCTGTCGAGCCCTGAGCAGGCCAGGGACACAGATTTTTTTTTTTTCCTTTTCTGGTCCACTTGCGTTAGCAAAGGGATGGTTTTGCTTGCCTGTGGAATAGATTCCAGCGAGGGCAAAGTCCCATCTCCGACTCGCACTTAATCCAGGCAGACGGTGGTGGGGTGAGACCCATCCTGTGACGCCTCTTATCAAAAGATCCACCCATAAATAGTCCTCCTGGTCACGAGACGGAGGGCAAGGTAAGATGAGGAAGAAAACTAATGCCCCCGTCTTCTTCCTGTTTCCAAAGCAAACACAAAACCGCTGCAGATCCTAAGACGTCACGGCAGCTGGAACGGGGCGCCCCCACCTGGGCTATCTCGGGTGAGGAGCCAGGGTCTCCCTGGCACCTGGGCTGGGAGCCAGTTTCTGCCGCACCCACAGGTGACGCCTCCCCGGGTCAAGCCAGCGCCCATCCCCGCTCCCCAGACTCCCTTTATTGATGAAATAAAGATAGAGGCCCGTGGATAGGGACCAAGCAGGTCAACTCACAGCAGGTGTCTGCATCGCTGTTGGCACAGAGCAGGTGCTCGGAACATTCGAATCCTTCCTCTTCAGCCCGCGTTGACCAGCTAACCCCGAGAGTGGTGCCCAGAACAGGGGCAGCATCCTGGGCAGTGTGCCCTCACCGTGACACTCTCCTGACCCCCTATAAGTTTTGTAGGTGATGGGAAAATCCTGAAACTCAAAATTGACCCTCTCGGCCACACGCCAGTGGTCCGCTGAGAGGCGTGAGGCACATCCGTGTCATGCTATTCCCCCCCCCCCACGTCCCACGTCCTTCCTCAGAGGCTCTTTCACCCACCAGAACTGACCTCTCAGCCCTGTTGGTCACTCGCCTCTTCCCCCTTCCCCTTTCCTCCAGCCCCTGGCCTCATCCCTTCTGCTCTCGGTCTCTGGTGCCTGACTGCTCCGGGTACCGACCTCGAGTGGACTCCCTTGCTGTCTTCCTTCCTTCACGTGGCAGCCTTGCTCAAATAGATCACCTCCTGTGCTTGTCCTGTGGCCTCTGCCCAGATTTTTTTTTTTTTTCACGGTGATCACGGTCCTCCCGTTGTTCATCAATTTTTTCGAGCGGGTCCAGTAACGTCTCCATCATGAGACTTGTTGTTACTGTGTTTGGCGTTATCAAATACATCACGGGGAGCTTGCCAGGCTCTGCCGTGCTGGCGAGATACTCTCAGTAGCTTGCCCGGCTCTCCGAGAGGGGCGGAAGAATCGAAATTGGGTTGGCCATGTTGGCTGCTTGTAAGGCAAATGCCCTACCGCTGTGCTATCGCTCCAGCGATATTTTTTTTTAAATAGTTTTTTTTTAAATGAATCACTGTGAGATAGACCCTTACAAAGCTCTTCGTGATTAGGTTTTAGTCATACAGAATTCTGACACCCATCCTTCCACCAGTGCATATTTCCCAGCACCAGTATCCCCAGGTCCCCTTCATTGCCCCCCTCCACCCCACAAACCACCCCCTGCCTGCCTCTGTGGTAGGGACTGACTCTCTCTCCCCCACCACCCCCGTTTTTGGGCACTGTGGTTTGCAATACGGATACTGAAAAATTATCATGTGTATTCCTTTACCTAATTTTAACACTCTGTTCTTGTCCAGCGTGATCTTTTCCAACTATTACTGCCCTCCTGGTCCCTTCTCCGTCTCACCTGCCCTCCACGGCCACACGCTTCTGGTAGCTTCCAGCCACTGAGCAGTCCTTTCAGCCCTGGCTTCCCTGAGTGTGCCCGGATTCTGGCTCCGTGCAGGGCATTCTCGCCCATTTACAGGCAGGAAGCCCGGACACAAGCAGGTCCCAAGAACTGACCCTGGGTCACCCATCTAACAGACAGTGGGGCCCACACCCCTCGGCCCCCGGCATGGACTGCTGTCACCCCCAAGAAGTTGCTGGAACCCTTTCCCACTTGGGGCTCTTTTTCCTTTTGAGGGAGCCCCGTTCTGGAGGCAGACGGAGTGAAGATTCCAGACTTCTCCCCGTCTGTAGTTTCTCTCTCCTCATCTCCCGTCTCTGGCCCGTTGTGGGGTGGAAGGAGTGGCCGTTCTACTTCTACTGCCCCCCCATCTTCCTATTGGTCAGTGTGAGCAGCGGGGCTGGAGTGTCAGGCCGCTGAAGCCCCACAGGACAGGCCCCTGACTTCCCCCTGGTCCCGTTGCTTTCCTGCAGTGGCCGGAGAGGACCACAGGAATTCAGCCTGCTTCGCCTGCATCTTCCTCAGCCACGGAGAAGAGAACATCATTTTTGGGACCGATGACAAGATCCCCATCAAGGAGCTGACATCCTGTTTCAGAGGAGACAGGTGCAGGACACTTGTGGAGAAGCCCAAACTTTTCTTCATTCAGGTACTCCCTCCCCCCGAGCCACTGCAGTCGATCACAAGTGGGGGGCGGAAGGGTCTCCGTGCCCGTTGTTTGAAGGCGGAGACGGGCAGGCCTAGGGTTTCCAACTCATCGCTGCACAGCCTCGGAGATCTGCAATGGGTCCCAGGTACGGGGGCGTTTTTAAGACATCCTAACACTCGGAGATGCAGGGCTTGCTCGTTTCACGTGAGATTCATCCACTCCCGGAGTCCCCCGTTATCTCTGAGTCGCCGGCGACTGCCAACTGCCGTGCGAGCGCCCCCTCATTTCCCTGCCCCTCTCCCTAGGCCTGCCGGGGCACAGAGCTTGATGATGGGATCCAGCCTGACTCGGGAACTGTCTATGAAGAACCGACGCCCCGGTGCCGGCTGCCCCTGGAGGCCGACTTCCTCTACGCCTACTCCACAGTGCCAGGTGTGGAGACAATTGGGTGGGGGACCAGCCAGGGGCGGGAGTGGGCTGTGTCCGTTTGCTGTTGCTGCAGTGTCAAGTGGGTCCGGCCGGGAAAATTCTAGACCTTTCCCTGTCTGCAGTTTCTCCTTCTTGGTCTTCCCACTCTGGTTTGCAGGGTAGGGGGAGCGGCATACCCTGGCCCAAGTCTTATCCCACTTCCGGAGGACAGGTTCCCATCCGGGCTGGGAGTATCTTTCCTCTGGGGAGCGGGGCACTGTGCTTCGGTACTGGCTCTTTCCAGAATGTCAGGACTGACTCTGCCTTCCTGGGCTCTGGTCCCCTCCTTTCACGGCAGGCCTCAACGCCTGACCCCTCTCCTGGGCTAACATCTCTGTCTGTGATTCCGCTTGGGGCATGGACACTGCTCTTTCTAGGGCTCTTAGAATAAGATTGGACCTGCGAAAGCAGAGTTCTCTCATTCCTGAGTACTGTTATTATTGAGAATTGTAAGAACAGATATTTCTATGACACTTTATAATTGGGAGTGTGTGTGTGTGTGTGTGTGTGTGTATGTGTGAGAGAGAGAATGTGTGTGTGTGCGTGTGCACGTGTACATGTGTGTGAATGTATTAGTGTGCATGTGTGAGTGTGTGCATGTGTACGTGTGCGTGTCTAAGTGTGTGCGTGCATGCGTGTGTGTCTGTGTCTTTGCCTTGTTTCACTGTCCTTTCAGCAGTTGTGTAGGGAGAGAGGTGTTCCTGCTACCCTGCTATGTTAGCACTGTAGCACTGTCCTCCCATTGTTCATTGATTTGCTCGAGCGGGCACCAGTAACATCTCACAACAAATTGTGAGGCTTGTTGTTACGATTTTTGGCATATTGAATACTCTCGGTAGTATTGCGGGCCTCTCTGAGACGGGTGGAGGAATCGAACCCTGGTCAGCCATGTCGGCCACGTGCAAGGCAAACGCCTTACCCGCTGGGCTATTGCTCCAGCCTGTTATGTTATACATGGAAAAATGCAATTATTTTTTTCCAACTCGAGTGCCGTGCCCAAGGTCACATTTCTGTCCACAACTGAGTTATAGCTCAGAGCAGGGTCCCTTCACACAGCAACCTGTACCCTGGAACCCACTTCCCCAGTAAGCCAGCCTTGAGCCAACCTGTCCGTCACTTCTGGTCTGAGTCAGTTCTGGGGAAAGCCCTTCCTTAGCTGAGACTCCTCTCCTGTCAGTGATCCTCGGGGATTGATGTCGAAGGTATTGATGTCCATGAACAGGTTGCTGTGTTTGGGAACACACACACACACACACACACACACACACACACACACACACACACAGAGCTCTGGGTGGATGTTGGATTTTGTGAGAGGGAGCACTCCCACACCGGAAGCTCTCTGCTCCGCATGAAACAGGTGTGTAAACATGGGCCGTGTTCCCAGGGCACAGCCCAGCTCTGGCTGCTCTCACAGGGCCACCGACTGGGGACAGACGTGTGTGTGTGTGTGTGTGTGTGTGTGTGTGTGTGTGTGTGTGTGTGTGTCTCGTGGTGCTGGGCGTTGGGAAGCCCAAGGTCACGGTGCTTCTGCTCTGGTTCTGGGCGAGGGTCTGTGTCTTGGCCTTGTGGCCCAGCCCCTTGCCCGCTGTCCTCAAGGAAAGCCTGACGTTTCCCTTCGAAGAACACTAGGAACTTGGGATCAGGCCCCACCCTGTGGCCTTATCGAAAGTTGATGACCTCCACCAAAGCCTCCACTCCCGGCTGCAGAGGCAATGCAGGGGTTCAGGCGCTTGGCCTTGTTGGTGGCCAGTTTTGGAAAGTGACCCCTGAGCACAGAGCGCCTTCCCCTTCCCCTGCAGTGCCCCCTTCCTCTCTGCCCCCCATTCTGTCTCCACTCCCCTCTCTCTCCCACCTTCCCTCTCCCTCCTCCTCCTCTCTGCTCTTCCCCTCTTTCTTCCTCCCTTCCCACTTTCTCCCTAACCCCTCTCTCTTGCCCTTCCTCTCCCTCCCCATCTCTCTCCCCCACTCTCTCTCCCCCACTCTCCCGCCTTCCCTCCCTTCCTGTGCGACATTCCCTGGGAGCTGGCCAGCAGTCCTCAGTGAGACGGTCTGAGACAGCCCCGACCCGTTTCCTAGCAGCCAGGCCAGCTGACGGTGCTCTCCTTTCTCCCCCGCTGAAGGCTACTACTCATGGCGGAACCCAGGCCAGGGCTCCTGGTTCGTGCAGGCCCTCTGCACCATCCTGCAGGAGTATGGGAAGAAACTGGAGATCATGCAGATCCTCACCAGAGTCAACAACATGGTGGCCAGGAACTTCGAGTCTAGGAACAGCAACCCGTACTACGACGAGAAGAAGCAGATTCCCTCGGTGGTCTCCATGCTCACTAAGGAGCTCTACTTCGGGAAGGCACCTTAAAACCGGCACGCTGTGGAGGGATCCGTTGTTGACGAATCAGATCCTTGGGGGGCTGTTTTGGAATGCTAGGAAACCTTCTAGGAATTTAAGAGCCTTTAATTTAATTTTAGTTTCTGGGACTGTGCTGGTTCAACAGGAAAGAAACTTTCTGGTGCTGCCTTTGGTTTTTCAGAGATTCTTATTTCCTTATACTGTAATCCACGTGACACCTTTCTGGTGTTCTTCTCAAACTCATTTCCAGTGTGTTTCTTTCTCCTTGATGTCCTGCTTAGCACATACAACATACATGACCTCTGTAGATGACTCTTGGCCGTGTTCACTACCAACAGTGCTCTTGCTGGTTTACAGGCAGAGTCTGATCTGCACCTGACAAAGAGTATTCAGGGCTTAATAAAAAGTGGCCTTCATCTGCCTGAAGGTGACTATTGCGTGAACTTTGAATGGTTGGTCATTGGCTGAGGGCAGATTCCTGTGCATGAAAACTCAATAAGATGGAGGGGCGGAGGGGGTGTCAGTAGGGAATCAGTGAGTCGTGGAAGATCAACCAGGACTGCAGAAGAAACCATTCTCGGTGTTTCAGTGGAGGAGATTGAATAGAGCGACTTGCCTTAACACGGGGAATGAAACACCCAATAACAGGCAACCCTTAGCACCTGGTGTTGCTCTGGAGTGTGGTTCCCTGGGTGCAGGAGCTGGACAGAACTGTTGCCTAACTGTGCAGGTTAGGCAGTTGGGGAGGAATCGCTGCTTCTGGCCCTCAAGCTCCCCGTGGTACCTCATTGTCTAGAACCACCTGGCAGAGGGCAAGACCCCGGGGACATGTGGCTTCCCGCGGTGCAGAGCAGAGCAAAGGCTTGAGAGGCAGGGGCTGGGGAGAGATGGATGGAATGTAAATAATAATGTGAATCTGCATGGTGCTACTCCCCTTGACCGTTATTCATCCATTCTGTCGTTTATTCATGGAGCTGTCAGGGACTCTACACTTGGCCTTCTACATGCAAAATAATGTCTTACCAAATTTTTAAAAATACCAGGAGCCTTAAAAATTATTCCAAGCCTTATTCTGAATAAAAACTCCGTTACCTCTGATTCCATACGTGGGGGAAAGTGTATATGGCAAAAAAATTTGTGCTTCGTTTTCAAGGTGGGTATTTGAAATCTGGATAAATCGCTACTTTATTTTTTTTCCCCAGTAACTGGTGTATAAAATATTTATACTTTAAAATTAAAAGGTGGTTGTTTAATTTTAACGCATGAAGCCCTCTGTTTGCCTTTCTTTCAAAATTCTTTTTATGATAACGGGAAAATGAGAAAACAGGATAAGAATTGATCTTCCTGATTTGCTCTAAACGTAATGCATGTTGCTTTTGAAGCTGGAACACTGATTTTTGAAATGTCCCTTGGAGGGCTAGAGAGATAGTACAGCAAGCAGGACGCATGCCTTGCATACTGCCAACCCAGGTTTAAGTTCCCGGCATCCCATATAGTCTCCTGAGCACTGACTTGAGTGATTCCTGAGCGCAGAGCCAGGAGTAAGCCCTGAGCACAACTGGGTATGGCCCAAAAAACAGAGCCAAAAAAAAAAAAGCCTCATGAGAAAGTGGAGCTTACATAAAGAAAACAGGTTGTGATTGGACCTTTTTCTAAAAACATCATTAATTAGACAACAAAACTAGAGAGCATGCAAGTATTTGCAAGTATTTTTCGATAAGATGAATTTAGGACCAGTTTCTTAGACTTGTCTCTGGTTTCCTGCCATCTGAAATGCACTAAATGTTCACAATTTTAAGTGGTGAACATGAATCAAGAATCAACACACATCTCTTCTACTCCCAGAATTCACAGGCTGTTCCCTGGAAAACAGGTCTCTTACCTAAGAGATAAACGTGCCTGCGTGATCGTGATTGTTGGAAATAATCGTCCTTGAGTTATTGGCCTCGTAAGCTTCCTTCAAGTGAGAAAGGATCCCCATGTATCAGGATTGGGTTTTCTGATTCTCTGAGCAGTGCCTCAGAGAATCATATTCACTTACAATAACAAGTATTTCCTGATGTCCCTTAGGGCAGAAATACTCATCACGGTTAACGAGAGCCCCAGCCCGGGGCGAGAGCAATGGTGATTGGCTTGCACACTGCCAACCTTTGACCAGTCCAAGATGTCTCATATGGCCTCCAAGCCTCACCGGGAGTGATTCCTGAGAACAGAGCCACAAGTCAGCCCTGAGCACCAGGTGTGGCTGGGGAAAAAGACACACACACACACACACACACACACACACACACACACACTTATCCTTGCACTGCCTTGCTCTGAAATCTATTCCAAGCCAGCATGTGCCTGCTCCCTCCTGTAAGCTTCAGCTTTTTGACCTTTGTTCGTCCAAACTCCGGGAGACTTTTTCCTGGCCCCTGCACTGTAGTTTCTCTCCAGCTTTTTTCTCCCAGACCTCTCGCCCGTTTGGAGTGTTGGCTGTGAATCAATCCCTTTACAGCTGTAGATCCTGACTGGAACTTGGTCTTGTGCTGAATTTCCATAAATCCTCCTGCTCTAGGATGTTTACACAGACCTCAAACAGATCTCCAGAGATGTGGGGCTCTGTGTATGCTCCTGCTTTAAACCTGCAGGAAGTGAAAGGGCAGGGTGCTCTGCAAGGACTGGGCATTAGTGTTCAGGTCTCTGATCCATCCTGTCTTGCAGCTCTACATCTGGAATGTTCTGTGGCCTCTTCCTCAACAAGGTAACTAGAGATTGCATCCTGTCTTCTGAGGAACACAATTTTCCTCCTCTATTTTCCTCTTGCAGTGCTTCTCTGGCCCACAGCAGGCCAGGGGGAGGCACTGTGGTCACGTGCTAATAGCAGAATTCACCTGTGCCTTTGACTTGACAAGGGTTCTAAGATCTGGGCTCAATAACTTCTGAAGCAATGTGGCCCCCAGACCCAAAAGTTCCCTGTATCATAGTCCAGTGAGTGAGCACAGGCATCCTGGCCTCTCCTGGGTGCTTCTCAGAAATGCAGAATCTCAATCCCCACCCAAAACCACTTGATAAAAATCCACACTTGAGGCGCAGGGCGGTATAGTACAGTGGGTCAGTCTTTTTCCTTGCTGTGGCCAACCTGGGTTCCATCCCCGGATTCACATATGATTCCCTGAGCACCGAGAGTAATTCCTGAGGTCAGAGCCGGAAATAACTCCTGAGCATGGCCGGTGTGACCCCCCCCCCCAAAAAAAAGGAAAGAATTTGCATTTGCAATTGAACTTTATCTGCAGAGGAGTCGATGGGCACATTATAAGTTTATCTCGCTGTGGAGGGTCAAGACCAATTGGATTTAGCGGGGAGAGTGGACATGGGGGCACTCCCAAGCAGTTTCAGGAAACTTCACCTGTCAATTAATAGCTAATTGGGGCCCTGCTCAATGTGAGGGCCCAAAGATATGATTCTGCTCAGTTCCTGCAGTGACAGGGATGACCCAGCCCACATCTGGCAGTACTCAGGGTACCATGTGGTGCCAGGGATCAAACCAGGATCAGCCACATGCAAGGTATCCTCAGGCCATGTCAGTCTCCCAGAGTGTGTGTGTGTGTGTGTGTGTGTGTGTGTGTGTGTGTGTGTGTGTTTCCCATTGTACTGTATCTCTGACCCTAGGGCCAATTGCTTACATGTTCATCTTCTCATTGACTCTGAACATAGGTCAGACCATGTAGTAGATACTGAAAAAGTTAGCGAAAGAATGACAAGGGGTTGATATCAAGGATATACAAAGTACTTGTTGAACTCCACAAGAAGAAAACATCCAACCCCATCAAAAAAATGGGGCGATGAAAAAAACAGAAACTTTCTCAAAGAAGAAATCCGAATGGCTAAAAGGCACACGAGAAAATGCTCCACATCATTAATCACCAGGGAGATGCAGATCTAAACCACAATGAGATATCATTTCATACCACAGAGACTGGCCCACATCCACAAGAACAAAAGCAACCGGTGCTGGAGCAGATGTGGTGAGAAAGGGACCCTCCTTCACTGCTGGTGGGAATGCCGACTGGTTCAGCCCTTTTGGAAAACAGTATGAACGATTATCAAAAAATTAGAAACTGAGCTCCCATTTGACCCAGCAATACCACTCCTGGGAATATATCCCAGAGAGGCAAAAAAGTATAGTCGAAGTGACATCTGCACTTGTTTGTTCATTGTAGCACTCTTTACAATAGCCAGAATCTGGAAAAAAACTGAGTGCCCGAGAACAGATAACTGGTTAAAGAAACTTTGGTACATCTACACAATGGAGTACTATGTAGCTGTTAGAAAAGACTAAATCATGAAATTTACATACAAGTGGTACTACATGGAAAGTATCGTGTTAAGCGAAATAAGTCAGAAAGAGAGGGATAGACATAGAAAGATTGCATTCATCTGGGGAACACAAAGTAACAAAATATGAGACTAACACCCAAGAGTGACCGAGATTAGTACCAGGAGTTTTGGTCCTCTACATTTTAAATGAGCTTTGTGCCGAGTGAGATGATATGATTGTTTTATGTTCTCCAAGTGTCAGCAAATAGGAATCGCAGCCTTTAAAACATCCTCATAAACAGAGCAGGATTAAAGGAACCAGTCCTTGTATGTTTGTATTGGCAGCTGTTTTGCGTTAAAGCCACAGAACGTATCTCTCCACCTGTCCACAGACCCAGAGGACATCAAGAGAAATGATTCCCTTTCTCGGCCAAGGTATCCTCAGGCCCATTAAACAGTCTTCGATAGAGCTCAGGGTCTTTGAGCTCCGGTCTTTGGGGTCACATGGCAAAGAAGTCTTTTTGATTTAAGAATTATTAACACAAAGACACCAGAGGCTTGTTTGGAAGTCCCAGGCACCACCACAGTGCTAATGTGGACATGGAAACTCCATTAGCTGGGAGGTTCATGCCTGAATAGCCCTCTGAAAATACACGATCAACATTTGAAAGCGCAAAGCCAAATGTGAGGAATAGACTTTGCATAAGTTTTGGTTTATAGGACACTATAAATATTTATGGCACACTACAGTTTTCTGATATATTGTCTCTAAGCATTTAAAACCAAGCTATGTCAAAGCATTTACATGTGGGTGGCATATGGATTTATGAGTGCAGATATAGAAGGTCAAACACTAGAGTTTTGATGATCTAACCCAGTGTAGATGACATGAGGTTTAGTATGGATTTGGAAGAGGGACGTGTCAACAATCTGCCAGGCTTGATCTGAATTGCTAGTTCTATATTAAGCATTGTTTAAGGCATATTGCAATCAGCACATCAATCTTTTTTTTTTTCAGGATCCAGGATAGGAAGACGGTGCTTTGAATAATCAGTATTTATAAATTTGGCTCTGAGTTCTAACCAATGTCCCACCGGTAAACTATTGAATACTCAGGTAACCTTAGCCTATTGTTCAGTTTTCTTATCTCAACATGAAGATAGTAGTCTGAAGACAAGATGAGAACACGTTTGTGAAGTACTTCTCACAACCTGTGACACAAAACAGTAAAGGGTTGCTCATCAAAGATTATGATGATTATAAGGAGGAGAAAGTGGAGTCACCGTGATGATGAGAATTGGTAATGGTGGCGGTGATGGTAGAATGGAGGTGCACCCTTGGACTCTCCACTCACTCTACCTCAAGGAACAGGTCTGTCTCCTAGGTCTGTCTTTCAAAGTGAAGTCTCCCAGAAGTTCAGGACTTACCTGTGTAGTCACAAAATAAATGAGGACAGCAGGCAGAAGTAGTGTCTCTCTCACCCACCATGTGTGGTTGGTGGCCATGAGCCGTTTCCCTCACCCAGGCCTGCGACTGCCACCAACAGACGCATGAAGGAGGGAGCAGAGTCACCAAAGTGGTTGGTGATCAGTTGCCGTTTATTCCATTCTCCCCACGCGCCTGTTCCAGTCTCACTGAGTTCCCCATGCCAGTCTCACACTGCCCCTCATTCCCATCTCTCCTGTCCCCCATGCTAGTCTCTCCTTGCTCCATCTTGCAGTCTCTGTCTCACCCCAACCTCCAAGCATTGGGAGAAGCAACCACACAGGTGAGGCAGCACAATCAACATATGTAAAGGCTCTTCCTTCCGGGTAAGCTTTTCTAAAGATCCCCTGCAGCCAGGAGATTCATTCAAGGGTCAAATACTGTCTAAGGGTGTGTTTTTCCTTCCCTTAGTCCAACAACCATTTAAACATTCATCTTAATTCTACTTCTTAATATTAG